GCGGACGCCCTCGGCGGGAAGGCAGGGGAAGCCTCCGTCGGGGGCGGCCTGGCTGTGAGCCCCAACCCTGGCGACAAGCCCATGACACAGCGAGCCCTGACCGTGTTGATGGTGGTGAGCGGCGCGGTGCTGGTGTACTTCGTGGTCAGGACGGTCAGGTGAGGCGAAGCCTCGACGGCCACCCTGCGGCCTGACAGGGCCGACCTATTTCTGTGACCCCATTGCTTTCTCTGCCCGCAGCATCAGGGGCGCCTACCGAGTGAGAATGTGGCAGTGACTTATTCACCTGTGCTACCTTTGGGGAGCGGGGTTAAACTGCCCAGAGGCTGCTGTATTTCACTTATAAATTAATACCCCTTAAATTTCCTTCACAACAAATTTAAGGGAATATGAGATTCTACCATTTCAGGCATTATGCTTTGAGGCTGAAGTGAGCTTCAGCACGAAGGAACTTAGGCAGTGGGGTATAATATAAACTATAATTTTAGACCAGATTTTAAAGAGATTTGAAAGAAAAAACAAAGTGCCATTTTTCACCGTTTTTGTTTTTTGAACATAGTTTTTAAATAAAATTGTTATTAAAATAAATTTTAATCAACAGGCCTTTGATTTTTCTTAGGCTTAACATTTTACTATTAATGTATTTAATTTTATAAATAGAGATTCTTTAGAATTACTGAGTCATTTTAAAGACTATAAAAGAATTTAGCTGGGCGTTGAGGCGCACTCCTGTAATCCCAGCACTCCCGAGGCTGAGACAGGAGAATCGCTGTAAGTTTGAGATCAGCCTGGGCTACATAATGAGTTCAGGGTCAATCTCAACTGCATAGTGAGACCCTGTCTCAAAAACAACACAACAAAAACAAAAACAAAAATAACAAAAGAAAGAATTTAAAGTTTCGAGAACCACCAGTATAAGCATTATAATTCAGTTAGTTGGGGTTGTTTTGCCAGTGCCAACAAATCCAGGCCTGCTCTTTGTTACAGGGAAAGTTAGAAAATGATCAACGGGCGTTAAACCCTTATTGTCAACAAACTGAGACTTCTTAATATGAAGAAAGATGAAAAGAAATTTGAAGTAAATTGTTTTTGCCATTGTATAATTGTTATTTAGTACTGTTTATATAATTCTTATGAGGATTCAGGATACCCTAATTATTATATTTTGTATTAACATAAATTAGGGATAGGGTGATTATTTTCTTGCTATATCCCTTACTTGTCCTTCCTTTTGCTTTAGCTTTATTTATAACTTCATATACAAATGTTTATGGGCATGGAATTTTAGTCTTCGTTGCTGTACCACTTGGAAAAATAAAACCTTTTCCATCAGATTCTGTTCAGTGGCTTGGTATCATGTTGTATGGGCCCAGCCAAATTCTGAATGATGGCTAATAAACACTGCATTCTATAAGCAACGTCTAACACAGTCATGCAGTCCAAGTTCTAAATTTATTTGGCTACCTAACAGCCAAAGCTTGATTGATGCTAATAAATCTGGGCAATGTTCAGAACCCATACTTTTTCCTTCCAGATTATTCTTTTCATCCTCATTTTTATAGATGCTCCTGTTGGCTCCCACTTCCAAATATGCATGACAGTGAACTAGCATCAGTTATTTGTGCCACGGTGAAAAATGGGCCAAAATCATCATTTCTTTAATTGATATGAGGTGACGCTAAGAATGTTTTACTTGTAAAACTGTATTGTATTGGGCTCCATGACACTTCCAAATTGTTTTGCTTTAATTTGATTGAGTTACAATGAATATGAATATGTGGCTAGAAATAACATCTATTTTGAGTCCACAAGTGATCCAGAGAACAATCTGATTTGTTTCTGTAGAAATTGAAAAATATATGCAGTAGGAACAGTGTAGATGTCCTGAGATGAACACATAATAATATCTGTGAAGAAAGACTCGTCTTATTTTTTCTGTATGCCTAGTGCAACCTACAGTGGACACAGCAAGCATTTCCTTATTCCATGGACAGAACCCTTAAACCATGAGCCAAAATAAGTCTTTCTTCAAGTTGTTTTCAGGTATTTCACCACAGCGACAGAAAGCTGATTTAGTAGTGATAAAGATTATTATTTTTTCTTCTAAACTTCTCTTTTTTATTTCTTTTGTGGATTTTATTCTCCTGTATTACAAGAATTCCACGAGTGCTTCTAAAGTTTTTTTTTTTTTTCATTTTGTTTTTCCACCTGTGATAATTGGGTTTTTAAACAAATATTTGTTTTATGTGCAATTCTGAGTGGTAAACATCAATAGATTCTAATTTGTTGGGTGTTTTAAAGCGAGGACAGTGCTTCCCATTGTTTTGTCATGTTTTTCACACACGGAAATTTATGTCTGTAAGGGATGAATGTATAAGACTATGTTTCCAATGTTAATTCCCTTTAGGTCTTGCCTAGTGACCTAAGGAGTTGAGGGGAATTTTGTCTCAGTGCATAAGTAACCATTTGCATGTATGGCATTTTTGTAGCCTGATGCTCAAAAACTAAAGAATTAGAAAAGTTATCATATGAGCTATAATTTTTAACTCAAGCAAATTGGTTCATGGTAAGTTTGAGTGACTGTTAGGCCATCAAGTATTTTGTCGTTTATTAAACTAGTATCTTTGCTTTTTGAAATCATGTAGTGAACTTTTAGTAATATGGCAGCAAGAAATCAAACTATTTGAAGGAAATTGTTCAGAAATCTCATTCCTATTAAACAAGGGCATTTGAAAATCTACTTAATACCATAACAAAAGCCATTTTATTTGTTTAAAGAATTTGAAGTCTGTCTCTAATCAACATGGGTCATTTATAAACTTGCCCTATAACCGAATGTTCTTTCAGTTAACTTTTACTTTTTGTATATGTTCTTGTCCCCCAACAATTTTAGCTATGCAGGTAGGCAGAAGTTTTAGAGTTGAAGGTATGTCTAGTTACATGTGTGCTTAAGAATCAGAAGAGAAGAAACTTCTAGAGGCAAAGGAAAGTAAGGAAGCTGAGAAGGCACGGAGAGTGTTTCTAAATAAAGTTCACATGGTAGGAATAACACAGCGGATAGGGGAGAATTTGTCCATTGCAGTGTTCCTATTTCCCCACCTTTCATTCTGCTCTCCCAAGTTGCAGTTTGACTTTTTGTGCCATCTGAAATTGTTCTGGGATAACTAATGACCACATTGTCTCAGTTTTATGTCATTTCTTCGCTCTATTCAGTAACAATATTTAACACTGGTTTTTACTTTGACTTCTAGGATATCTCTTTTGCTACTCTGAATTTCTACTCTCTTGGTCTCCAGGAATTCTTTTTCTTCCCCTTTTGTTTCTGCTGTTAAGATACTCCTATAACTCAAGTCCTAGAAAGCAGGGTCTTAATGGTACATCTTTATTCTTGAAAGGTTGTGTCCAGCTCAGGTAATGCAAAAGCACTCACTGAATGTTTATGGAAAGGAATGACTTTCTCTCTTTCATTGACTGTTGTCAGGGCCCTTTGTTTCTTATTCCTTTGTGCCCTGGACTGTCCGTGAGTTCTGAGTGAACCATCCAAAATTAAATTACTGCTAAGTCATTATTTACTTTCTAAGTTATGGACATGTATAGTCAGCCAGCTCCTCACTGCGGAGGTGTGACAGACTCCTAACATTCAAATTTGAGAGAGTCATTTTTATCCTTGAGCGAACACTGGCTGCACTGTTTTAATTAGGTGAATGACATCGTATCTACATAGTTTCTCAAACTAGAAACCTGAGTCACCGAAGCCTCTCCCTTTTTCCCTCTCCCTCTGTCCCTTTCCCTTTTTTCTCTTGTTTGCTATTTATATCAATCATCCATTTTCAGTGTCTAAGTGTTTCTTGAGTACATCCCTACTTTATGAATGTCACTGGCCTTATGTTAGTTTAGGCTCAAAATAATAGTTTTTGTATTAAGTATTTTTTCTCACTTCATTCTGCATTCTAAATATACATCTTATTCAGTTTATCTTCCATGCTGAACAGGCAGTATATTCGTTTGCATTGCTGTCACTGGGACAACTACTTGATAGCCAGAAATTAAAGGAGGGCAGGTTTATTTTTGGCTGAAAATTTCAAGGATCCAGTCCATGGCTGGCTGGCTCCAGTTCAGTAACATCATGGGAGAAGGGTGTGGGGGAGCAAAGCTGATCCCTTCCTGGTGACTGGGAGGGGAAGCAGAGCAGAGGGAAGCGTGCCAGAGACATACCTTCCACTGGCATGCCCCCTTTCTGATCTGTGAGGGTGTATTAATCCAGCCAACAGTCGCCGTAAGAATCACAGATACTGCTATTCCTTCCAGAATGTAACTCTGATCATGATGTGTTTGTATTTATAATCTTTTATGGCTGTTGTCCAATGTGTAACTGCTAGCTGCATGTGACAGTTTAAAAACTTGCAATTAAGTAAAATTAAAAATTCTAGTCCTGGAGATGCACTTGCCACATTTGAGTGCTTAATTATATCATGAGTAGCTACAGTACTGGACATGTCAATGCAGCATAGTTCCATCCTTGCAGAAGTTCTCTAGGGAATCACAGTTCCCTGTCATCTCTTGGGATATGTACTTGTCTGCTACATCTAAATGTGCCGTTTTCCAGGATAGTTGTGCTCTTTGTAGTAACTCAGCAATCTAGTTAACTTTCATTTTATGGTTTTGCCACTGCAGTATAAAAGTCTTCCCTACTTGGTAGAGCTTATTGAGAGAGACTAGAGAATGCCCAGACTTTGTTGACTGTCTCTGCCTAGAAATGGCACAGTTAGTTCTATTGAGTTTTATTCAAGTCAGATCTGGACAAGATTCTAACTATATAAAGGCTAGAGATTAAGTGTGTATACTTAGGAAGGGATGGAGAGCTCTAGTAATGTCAGCCATACAAAGTGATAGAGCAGAAGGTTATAACACCTGGAAAAATGCCCAAGCTCCCACAGAACCCAATTTGAATTCTGCTTTTGGCATTTCCATGCACCACTCAATGAATTCTTGAAGGTCTAGATGGATTATATTTCTTACTGTTTCATTGGGATGAACTTGCACCTTATAGAATAGTAAAACACATACCATGACCATAAATTATACACAAGTAATGATTTTGCAAGTAAATTGATTTAAATTATTTCCCCTGGTTTTCATATATATATATATATATAGT